GGCGCCCTCTGCCGGACGGAGATGGCCAGCGACCTGGGCCGGGACGGAGCTTGGTTACGCGGGCCTGAGGCTGTGGAGGCCCAGGGCACGCGGGAGTCATGCACCGGCCAGAGGTGACCCCTCGTCCAAACGCTGTTGGGCAGCTAGAAAGACGGGGGACCCCACCCCGAGCTTCCCAGGGATGAGCTGTGTCCTCATCCACCTTCGTCACCGGCTCTGGCACCCTGGGACTCCTAGCTCTCCCCCAAGTCTCAGTGACCCTGACAGAGACACATTTGAATCCACTCAGGACATCGAGGCAGCCAGGACAGCGCAGCTACCGACCTTCAGGAAAGAGGACTCCAGAGCTGCTGCAGGAAGTGGTGAGGACGATGGGACGAGTGTGTTCAGAGCCAGGGGAGGATTGTGAGGTGGATTCGTGGCAGTGTGATTTTTATCATAATAAATGTTTTGATTTAAACAGTCACTGTACTTTCAGTCATTCTTATGTCACAGAGCTCCTAGGAGGAAATAAGTCTAATGGTGTCACTGGAAGACGGTGAGGACCTCGTAGTCTTCAGTCCTGTTTCTCACATTTCTCCAAAGCATTAAACTGAAGAGCTGGGGTTGTTTTCTTTTGTTTTGGCTTGCTTTTGAGACAGAGCTCGCTCTGCAGTTCAGGCTGGCCTTGAACTCACTATGGAAGTTCGCGGGCCTTGAGGGGCCTGGGGAGGACGGCTGAGGCCTTGGGGAGGGAGTTCCACTCAGCCCCAACACGCTCCAGGCCTCTCTGTGTGACAGGACAGGAACCCCGGTGAACAGAAAGGGGCTCTGGAGATGGAGGCAGGGGAGGCAGGGAAGGGCAGGGCAGCAAAAACACATCATATGTGTCCCATCCGTGTGCCCGCTCCCCATCGTGTGTGTAACCAGCATGTAAAATGAAAATACGAACTGTGGAAGATTTTTCAAAGAAGAAAGTGTGGTGGGAAGCCAGGCAGGCTGCAGAGCGGACAGGTCCAGAGCCAGAGAGGCAGCACCTGCTGTCACAGAGCGTGAGAGGGAGTGCAGAGCTTGTCCAGCGTGCTGACCTCTGGCTGTCCTCATCCTTGCTGTCCCGCCTGTCTCCAAGCCCTCGGCCCCTCCCCATGCGCACCCCTGATGAGAGGCGCGCCGTCTCCTGCGCGCAGCCGCACCCCACGTGTGCAGTGGCCCACAGAGCATTTGGCCAGGAATGGGTAGAGAGCGTCTGTGAAATGCACACTTCCGCCCGGGCCCTCTGCAGGCCCCTTTCAGCTCTCACTCGAACGCGGCTGAGGTGCTGGTTTGTACCTAGCTGCCCCACAAAGCCTCAGGCATTCATAAGCAGGGCTTTCGGGGCGGTGGTTGGATTATGGGGGCTGGGCACTCACCGTGGACCCCTTCCCACCGCTGAGCCTAAAGCCGAACTAATGTCGGGAGCTGCAACCTGGCAGGAGGAGGGGTACCCCGGGAGTGGCTGGACGGGTCTGTCTCCCTGTTCACCCTGCTTCCGGTGGGGCTGACCGCCTGCTTTGTCTCTTCCCAGCTTCGGCCACTGCCCCAGCCCCACCTGGGCGACAGCTCCACACTCCGGGGGCCCTGTGCCTGCTGCTGTGCCCTAGGCCCAGCTGCAGAGTGGATTCCCTGACACCCTGGATCTGGGGGTGTGTGTCGAACCAAGACACTGGCTCTGTTTCAGGACTAGGAAGATGTTTCCCTCCTCCCCGCTCCACTGCTGGGGGGCTGTGGGAAATGAGCTGAAGGACAGGACAACTTGGCTGATTGCAAAGCATCCTCCCCTCCAGCACCCAGGGTTTCTACACAGCGACTGTGAACTCAGACCAAAGAGAGTCCTGGAGCATCAGGACACTGGGAGACAGCACTGTGCAAAAGTATTTTAATAGCCTGCACACGTTTGCATACATTAGACCAATGCCAAGAGCATAATATATGGAAATACACCTCTACCTAGAATACAAACCTCACCATACACTCAGAGCTTTCAAGTCCTACAGGTGACTGACCTCTAATTACCACTTAGGAAACAGTCCATTCAACAGGAGAGTAGGGTGTGTGATACATTATTGGTGAAAGAAACTTTATTGCCACTCTATTCAGTTGGTTTTCTTTTCTCTCCTTTTCTTCCCTTTTCCCCCCACTTTTCTTCAGGGCCTTCACACTGAGCAACATCCCCAGCCCCTTGGTTTGTTTGTTTGTTTGTGTTTCGAGACAGACTCAGTAAGTCACTAAATTGCTTAGGCTGGGCTGTAACTCATGATCTTCCTGCCTCAGCCTCCCAGAAATGCCAGGATTACAGGCACCACATCTGTTGGCCCAGTTTTTAATCTATGCAGCAAGTAAATGCCGAACACCAATAGAGATAACTGAGCCCAGTACCACATCTGTTGGCCCAGTTTTTAATCTATGCAGCAAGTAAATGCCGAACACCAATAGAGATAAACCTGAGCCCAGTTTTTTTTTTTTTTAAAGATAATTCAGCCAAATAGGCTGACTTGCATTCGAACGTGAAAGAAAACAGGTCACTGTCATATTATGTTTCGCTAAATAGCAGAGATGACAAGCACTTTCAAGGCCAGCAGGCCACTATTTGTGACCCATCCTTCCAGGCTTCCTAAGACAAAATTCCATTCATGTTACCACCACCCAAACTGGAAGCAGTCGCTGAAAACACTTGCCCTTAACACTGAAGATGCATCAGTTCCATTATTCTTTATTCTCCCAATAAACAGAGTATTTTCACAAAGGTAACACTTGTCAGAAAAGTAAAGCAAAACACTATGTAACCCAAATTCGGATTTTACTGTAACACCAAAAGTTCCCATTCCTCTGCTTTAAGAAAAAAGGGCATCTGAATATTTTAATTGTAAAATCATTGCCAATCCTAACAGTGCCTAAAACAGTGCTGTAGTTTTAAAAAAAACATAGCTAGAAATGTATTGAAAGCAGGTTATTTGTCAGGTGTAATTTTGCTTTGTTTTGTATTATCTGTACCTTGGAGAAAAGAGAGATAGTTTCCCCCAACTAGAAAGGATTTGAGCTCCAGATTCAGATTTGATCTCCAGTCACATTGGCTGTGTACCTCCTAGGTGCCACACGAGGCCTTTGGTGAACTAAGCATTTTGTTTTATGTCTAGGTTGATCATAGGAAGGTGTCACAGCTCAGGTCCTGAGAAGACCCAGCAGGACGAGGGACTTTGTGATGCATCTTCTCTTTTAAAAATTCCATAACTTAGGGCTGGGGACTTAGCTCAGTGGTTCCACCTCCTGCCTTCTAAGCACAATTCCCAGTACCAAAAAAAAAAAAAAAGGTCCATAAATTAGAAAAACAGCACAGGATAACCTACACTATTTTGGATAAGACACAAACATGTAAGTTAAGCTATGAAGCCTTAAAACCTGGGTAGGAACAGCTTTTCTAAGAAAAAAAATCATAATTCAAACCAGCAAGTCCTGAAGATAGGTTATGAAGCAGAATTTCCAGAACAAACCGGTGAAATCATACATCTACGCGCCCTCTTCTGTCAGGCGCTGGGATTGCAGCTGTTGGCAAAATCAAAACAAAGCAAAAAACAACAAACCAAATGCATGATTCTGCTTTTTTGAAACAATTACAAAAAAATGATTGCTTTGCAGGCAGTGAGATGCTGCGTCGGCTCCCTAAGTAAACTCCGTGTGGCGGCTTCACCGCGAGGGGACCTTGATTTCGTGACAGCCCTTGCAAGCTTTGCCTCTGAGCTACAGAGGAAGGGGCTGGTTTTTCTCGGGGGACCCAGACCAGGTCTCAAGCTGCAGACTCAGAGTCAGCCCGGAGGGTGGCCCGGGACCGCGGCCCTGTTGGAATCCACCAGGCAGCTCCACACTCGCAGCACTGCCCTGCTCGGATCCCAGGGCCTTTACAGAGCGGGCGCCCGGCCGCAGCTCCGGCCCCCCGGGGACAGGCGCTGGCGTCTCCTCCCGCCCTCCGGTCACCAGTCCAGCTTCATGTCCGCCTTGCTCCACACATACTTGCCCCCTCGCCTGAGAAACATCTTCTCGTCAAACCCGCTGAACTTTATGGCCCGCTCCACGCCGACATCCAGGATGGACCTGGACGGGTCCTTGCGCCCCTTCCTGCAGTTCAGAAAGCGCATCTGGAAGACCGAGAGACGGGCACGTTTTCAGTTCACTGTCCTCCAGGACTCCTGCAACTCAAAGCCATCTGGGACATTCCGCCCGCGGGACAGAAGTGCACTGCGGCCACGTGGGGTCAGTCCCGCTCCTCGTCCCCAGGGAGGCTGCTGGAGAGAGCACCAAACACCTGTCTCTGAGCTGTGTCCCCCTCTTAGGGGCGGTGGCAATCAGGACAGACGCCCCCAACATGCTCACGTCTAAGTTTGGTCTTGCAATTTTAAATTGAGAGAAAACAAGGAGTGGTGCCGTGGCTTTGGGAAATTGCAGACAGATTTTTTTCTCTCTCCCCCCCCCCACTAGAATGCAGACTGCATGAAGGCCTGAGTCCGATTCCTAGCAAAGGCTTTCTTTGGAAAAGGCAGAGACAGGTCAGAAATGAGCTTCCAGGCAGAGGCATGGCAGATAAAGAGCAGGCCTGTGTGTCCTGCGACCGCCAACGTCTTCTCCCTTCTCCGGCCCTATCTTTCTATTCACTACATCCTAGCCTCTTCTACTGTACAGGCAGGAATGGGTCTTCTGGCCTCTCATCGCCTGCACTGTGTGTTGTGTAGGAGATCAAGTAACACACGCCGGAAGAATCAAGAAGTTATTCAATTAGCAAAAACGAATCTGGGTTTAATTCTCCAACTGTGTGGAGACTAGCAAGTTTGTTGAGGAACATCGGTCCAAGTCCCTGGACGGTCACGATCATTTGCTCACCAAAAATAAATTTTTTTCTCTTTACTTGGGACTCCTACTCATAAGCCAAACATTCCCATTATTGTTTTCTCTGTGTACTCTCTAAAGAAAGCTCACATGGACAATAAATGAAATTATGTTCAAGCATCACCAACTAACTCAGAAATAACAAAATAAAGAATTATAATAAACATTTGGCAAAAAATCCACTTTAAACATTGTGTTCATGGTTCTTGCTGGTGCTTATCTCTTAAAAATATATCTTTGAATGGGATTATTTGCCCTCTGCTAGAAATACTGCTAAAGGTTCTACCTTTAGAACTATAACAACCAAAAAAATAAATACATAAAACATAAAAAGGAAAGTGGATTTTGTTTTCCCATTCTGAGAAGAGTGGGTTTTCCTTTTCCTGGAAAACATGATGGAGAGGAGCCGAGACCAGAGGTCTTCCGGGAGGAACAGTGAGGCCCTGATATGACGCAGTCTCCCCTCAGGAGAACCTCCAGCACCAAACCGCTAACACCGGACTCCGCTGTGTTACGGGGGCCCCCTGTGACACCCACAATAGTCAGCCACGCAGAGATGATGTCCTGGCGTGACTGCTGCCATGCCAGGGGCTTGGCTCGGGCTAAAATTTGTGGAAATGCCCAGTGCAGAGTTTGACCCGGTCCGGCCAGGGCTTCTCTGTATTCATTAAAAAAAAAAAAAAAGACAAAACACTGTCGGTCAAAGCATGAAATCCTCTCACAGCGGGACAGATCAGAACTAAGTGGCTGTGTTTGTTTCACTTTGACTCTGGCATTGCTGCACAATTAGTTTTCCCGAGATTCACTTTATAATTCCGGGTGAATACTTACATATTCATCCAGAATGAGGTAGGAGTCTTTCATCTGCAAAAGAAATCATCAGATACAGGCTTAGTTTCTGACACAGCCTTGCTGGGATAGCTACTGTCTGACGTCCCTGTTTTTCTATTCCTGCCAAAAGGCTCCACAGAGAGATGTCACCATGAAGGCGCCTCTGATAAGGACAGCCCAGGCTAATTCTCTCTTCCCTCCAGCTGTCACCAACATGGCCTGTGATGGTGCCTACCATCCCCCTGGTTTCCTTCTTTTCCAGGGTGCAGACTAGAGCTCTCATTAATGTTATAACCCAGAACTAAAAGGTGGCCAACCCCAGGATTCTAATTCTACCCTTGCCCATCTTGAAAGTAGTCACACATCTGGCAGCCACGTAGGGACCCCATCAACATCTACTCCTATCCGTACAGGCAGGCGAAACTCTTTTGTTTTGAAAAGACACATAGTAAAGACATCTTGCTGTAGGGCTCTCGGAGTCTCTATCCCAGCCACCAGGGTCAACACTGAAGGTCAGGGCCGGGGATTTAGCTCAGTGGTTCTGCTGCCTGCCCAGCAAGCACAAGGTCCCCAGTTCAGTCCCCGATACCAAAACAGCAACAACAAAAAGCAAGGACTAGAACAGAAAGGATTAGAACACTTAAGGTCAAAAATGACCACAAAAAGTATGGGACAAAATGGGTATTGAAAGGCCCCACTCCCGGGACCTTCCGGGCCCACACTGGCATCAGAACCTTGGTGCTCAGGGCACAAGGCCCAGGTTCCGGGCCCTGGGGCTTCTGCCTGCAATCGAGAGTACGGGGAGCGGTTTTCTGTATGGTATTTTTGGGTGACAGATGGGGAATCTGTTTTTAAAATGTGTTTTTGAATAATGAAACTTATTTTAACCATTCCAAAGTCCTAGAATTTATAAAAGTAAACAAAAATGACTGCTAATTCCATCATTTCCACAGTAACCATGGCGATAATTACAGGGAATTTTGGAGTTCACCAATAGGACTTCAAGTTAATTTTGCATAGTAATTTTCACTGGTACTTAATATTATGAGAACTTATCCTGGTCACTTAATATTCTTTGAAATATGCTTTTTAGTCAGAATAAAATTTCATTCTAGGAATGTACAAATTTACCTGATCCTGCTAGGCTTTTAGCTACCATGTATTCAATTGTTTTCTGTTATTTACTCTTAATACAACAGTAACATGCTTTTGCATAAATGTTTCTCAGTCTTTCAGAAGATTTCCTGTTTTAATGTTGAATTTCTAAGTTAGCACATGCAAACATTTAAAGATTATCATTATAGATTTTCCTAGGATTTTGCCTAGGAAATTTGAAGTGATTTATTCTCTTACTAACAATATGAGTTTGCTTTTTAATATGACTTCATGCTTTGTATTTTAATTTGTGTTTCTTTGGATGCTGATGATATCAAAGACAAGTTTATCCACAATTTGTTTCTTGTGTATGAATTTTTTATACTCAAAGCCTGACTTGCTTTTTCTATGTTAATAGATCCTCATTGATTTAAAGAACTTTTACTGCATAATATTGTATTTTAAAGATTCAGCATAATATATAATTCTACTACATAATATATATTTCTACATTTAATTTTTAGGGCATGTGTGGTAATTTATTTATTTTTTGAGACAGTCTTGCTATATAGTTCAGGTTGGCCTTGAACTCACTATGTAGCCTAGGTTGTGGCCTCACTATGTAGCCTCAGATTTGTGGCAATCCTCCTGCCTCAGCCTCCTCAGTTCTGGGATTACAGGCATATGGCACCATGCCCAGCTATATTTTTAATTTTTTTGTATTCAAATAATTCAATTGTAATTATATCAAAATGTTCATATCTTGCATTAATCAGGAGGTCCCTCCTCTCTAGAAGTGAGAACAAGGAATTATTTTTCTTTAGATTTTGAGAACGTGGGGAGTAGTGATTCTTTGGGTTTACCTGGAGGCACAGTGGTGCAGGTCTGCTGGGCCAGCACTGTGTAATCTGTATATAAAATCTAATGGGAAGCATCCAGGTATACTTTTAGGAGACAACGAAGGGCCTGGCCAAGCGTTCTTTCTGTTCTACCCAACTTTCATCCTTCATAGAGATAATTCTAGCAAGCAGCATGGTGGTGTCATCAGCGCAGTGGCTCTCAGCGCCCTCTAGAGTTGGGCACTGGATGGGACATGAGCCCCATCTACAGAGTGTGCCCCAGGGTGTGGGGGGCAGGATCACACGTGTCCATCTTGGAGGTGTCACCCCACACACTCCCGGAGAGGGAAACTGAGCCTGGGGAGCCCCTGCGGCAGGCAGGTGGCGAGGACCACCCCTCACACTGAGTCCTCTAAAAGGCCCCTGTGAGGGTGTGCACAGCCCTCGGGCAGGGGACCCCCTCGGCGTGAGCTACTTGTGTTCTGGTGGACGAAGCGGCGCCCGCTTGGTACAACCTTCTGGTTACACTCCGGCACCAAGCAGGACACTTCTCTGTGACGCTCCAGGAATCCCTCGAACTCCTCCTCGCTGATGAGGAACCGCTCAGCTTCCCTCAGCGCATCTTCACCACAGTTCTCACCCTCGATCAGGAGGCACTGGAACACCTGGAAGGCGAGGGTACTTCTAGGTAGGAGCTTTGTTCCTGCCCCCTCCCCGCCCCTGGCTCCTCCGTCCAAATTCTCTCTGTCTAAGCGACCGACCTCCCTTGGAGATGTTATCCTGGGAATGGAGAGCCAGCCCTGAAATTAGGAATACATGCAAATCTTCTGAAGAAATGCATTTCCAAACCTGGTTGACTGTGCTTGATTTAGGTAGGCAATCTAACACGTTAGACTACTAACAAAGCAGATGTTCTTTCAAAGGAACAGAGACTATAAAAGGTGCAAAACCTAAATCATTTGGAAGTCCCCAAAGCAAGAAAAAGTAGTTTCAAAATTTTCTTGTTTCTGTTGACTTCTTATATATTCTTATCAAGCTCTCTCGATTTTGTCTGTTTTTACTCACAGCTAACTATGGTGGCCCTATGATCCATCTACCTTCCAACGTCGCATCTCTAAACTAAACACTTATGAGATCCGGGAGGCACTCTGGATCTAAATTACAACAGGCTGGTAGAGGGACCAGTCCCAAAGCATCCAAGTTGGAAAAATGGCCTCATCTTGCTTAGAGCAAGGATGACTTTACCCTTCCCAAATTTCAGGGAAATTCAGTAGCATCAGGTTTGAGGGAGAAGTTCCATCCATCTATCCATCCATCCATAAGCCAAGAGTTTTAAGAAGAAATTTAGGTTTTATAGCAAGAGATTCTTTAGAATATCTCCAATCCCTCAGCATGTCTTTGGCCTCTCTCCTCATGAGATTCCAGAGGAAAACAGATTCCAGTTTCCAGGAGGCAAAAAGAGAGCAAAGAAAACTATACTCGAAACCTTAACAGAGCCGAAAGAAAGACCAAGCAAGACGTGGCTGCAGAGGTGCGAAGCTCTCGGAGTCAGTGCAGTATTCGGTGTCACTGAGAAAAGGTCGCTCCTGAGCAATTTTGCATTACAACCGGCAAAAGCGGCACTGCGGACCTACCTTCCAGCGCACGGGGTTGAGCGCTGTGATGGGTCCTCGCATGTCCTCCTCCACGTTGAAGCGGTTGATCACGGAGTTGATCTTGAAGGCCACTCTGTAGTCCTTGCACCACTTGTTTAACTTCTGCAGCGTTTCCACGTGGTTCTTCCTTCCCTGGCCCCGGCCGATGAGGACGTTGACTTGCTCATCGAAGCTGTCACAGGAGACAGCGAGGATGTCCAGGTACTCACCTGTAGGGCAGTGGGTGTCATCGTGTGACCTGGGCCCCGACAGCCCTTCCGCACATTTGCTTCTCTTTATAATCAAACAGCTCGTTTGCAGCTATGTTTCCGATTTTTTAAGTGAGACTTTTTTCACGTGCACAAAACTCTCAGAAGTGTACATCAGACTAGGTATGTGTGTCGATCATTAAAAAACCCTACATATGCATAGGAAAATGATGGAGATGCTCACGTTTGATCATTTTAAAACCCTGCCCAAGAATGTATGGGGGCCTTGTTCATATATTTAAATGTGACTTTGGCACAGTGGCACAAGACAGTAATCCCAACACCATGGGAGGCTGAGGCAGGAGGATCATAAGTGAGCACACAGCGCTGGCACCTTAGGAAGCCCTTGTTTCAAAAAAAATATATGTGTGTATATATGCATGTGTGTATATATGTATATACTTATGTGTATGTATCCATATTTATAGCTGTGTGTATATGTGTATATCCATATGAGAGTCTTCATTTATTCTCCCTATTCAGGGAGGCTGAGACATGAGGATCATATGTTTGAGCCCAAGTGGGCAATTTAGGGAATCAGCAAGGCCCTATCTCAAAAGGAAAAGAAAAAGCAGCGGTCTGGGGACAGAGCTCAGGGAGAAGGACCTGATTTCAATCCCTGATACCATGAATGAATAACCTAATTAATTTTTAAATCATATAATTTTTAAAGAAGATTGATACGTGGGGAGGCTGCTAGACTTACATAGCGGCAATTATAGATTTGCTTGTTTTCCCCTCACACACCTAAAACTGCTTAGTGGCAGAGCCCTAATCTTTCATATTCTGCCAAGCTCATTAGCTTCTCCTCGACACGTCTGGTACACTAGATTTACCGTCAAGATATTTACAAAGTCTCCATGTCATATCAGCACAACCATATTGGACGCCGGGCAAGCTGAGCTAAAGGGAAGCCAGTTTAGGGGCCAGGGAATACTCTCCTCCCTTCACCACGGCACATTGCTAGTCCGATATTGGGTCCCTCCTGGCGCACAGCGGATCCTGAGCAGAATCCTCAGGTGCTTCAAGCTCTGCACCTTTCTGGGAAGGACAGGCGTTCCCTGCGACTGTCACTCCTTCAGCAGTCAGACAGCTTTTTCTAGTTTTTATCACTTCCCAAAGTTGACTCCATTTTTTCAAAACACTTTCAAAGTCTAGAGGTTAAGGGTTGCAAAAGCTCTTTAAGTAACTATCCTCAAATATTACGAAAAGGGTAATTGTAGTTCCTCTTTAGGGCCTAATTTTATGCTGCTCGTAAGGAACCAGGGTCTCGCACAAACCGTACCCAGAAGCAGGTAATCACTGTGACTTCCATTCGCAACTCAGAATGTTCTAGGAGTTGATTTCAAATAAATTCCTAATGGGATATCACGTAGGAAGGAGGCAACCAGTGGAATGAACATACAATCTCTAACCAAATCCAAATAAAAAGCAAATTCAAAACCAAACCAACACAGAAACCTTCCAGTTCCATTAAGGGTTCATCTGGTCGATTTCCAAGTCAGCTGAGGATTTCTAAGTCAGGGGCTGACTTCTGTTGCTTTTTGCCACAGTCTCCACAGACCTCCAGCTCTTGGGAAGAAAGACTTAACCCTGTCCAGGGCCTGCCTGTGGGGTGGTTGCAAAGTCCCACCTGTCTCCAGGTGGTGGCGCTGCACCCTGAAACTGTAGGGAGCGGCCTGTAAGGACTTGTCAGGAATGCTTGGCTATACCACTGGGGACCCGGCCACAAATGACCAGCCTTGGGCCCTAAGAGCCCACAGAGCCTTCCTGAGCAAAGACAGCCTAATCACGTCCTTGCAGCTCACCTTCACCTTGCGCTTTTTGCTGCCCTTTGCTCTTACAGAGCCCTGCAAGAGTCCGCCATCCAGCGGCAGCTCTGACTCAGCTGTCCTTGTTACCCAAGCACGCACGCCCAGCCCTCTGTAATCAGAGGGACCAGAGCTGCGTGCACTTTTTGTTTGTTCCTGGAGCCTCTAACACTATTTCAGATTATTTGCAAATATTTGTAGTTGGGGGATCTAAAATACAGTGTAGCTATTTTTTGTGTCTTTAATAAGTTTACGATCTGGCAACCTTCCGAAGAGCACCAGAAATCAAAGTGGCCAGCCGGCCGCTTGGTCGCCAAGCAGAGGGCCTGGTGCTTCTCATTCTCAGGACTCGTATTGTTCAGTCTCCAACTGTCCGCTCCCAGGGGTGCTGGGTCTCTTACATGCTTCCAAGTGCACACACGCACCCCCCCATTCCCAGGACACACTGTGGTATTTGGCCCTGAAGGTGGGGTCCCCTCCCCTCTACCTCACCTGGCAGGGACAGGCTGGGGAGCCGCCCGGTGGGGGGAAGAATGCTTAGGTACCACTCCACGTCCCTCCCCTCTACTCAGACTGCTTTCTAGACCCCTCTCTGCCTCTATGCCTGGTGCCCAAGCTGGCTTTGAACCTCTGAACCGGTTCCCTTGGTGTTTTCCCTCCACTGGTTCCCGGCTTAGTTCCTCCCCTATCGGTTCACCTTCTCCCGAGACCCAGTCCACCTTCCTGCTTCCCCTGCGTTGGACAGGCTGCTCCCATGCACAGCCCATGTCCACATGCCAGCAAGAAAGTCTGATCAGGAATCTCTGCTTGACATCCCGAAGCTCAAAAGCACCGGCTTCCCTCCTGGGGATCTCAAAGCCCAAGCAGCTCAGCAATCAAGAGCGGGGAAGGCACTCTGGCCTAGAGGTTGTAACTGAAGGAGAGCAACTATTTTATTCACGGCAAGTATTTTTCAATATTCCCGAGTGCCAGGCATTGCTCCACCTACCTCACACCCGTGTGGTCTTAGTAGTGAGGACCCACTGGCTTTTAATCATGGCAATGCAGGAGATTTCTGTGGAGTTCCTGAGTTGGCCAAACCACCCTCGGTGAGCATCTGCCATAGCTGGAATCCTCTCCAGGCCTAGCAGCAGTATTCCACCACACAGCTGCGAGACGTGAGAGTTCTTCTCAGGAGTGGCTGAGCTTGCTCTGTAGGTCTCAGCGCTCGCTAACCCTCCTGACTAAGGTGAGCACAGCCCTGATCGTGATGTCTCTGGCACCTGGCCCCTGACATCTGGTGGCTGTGCTTGTTTACTTAGAGCCCTGCAGTCATGGGCTCCTAACAGCACTCACAGCCCCCCAGAAGGTTCAGATAAGCAGGGCTTGTTTTTGATTTCTTCTAGGTCCCCAGAAAGGTCCTGGCCTAGGGCTCAAGGTGGAAGGAAATACAGGAGCCAACCGACCATGTCAGCAGCAGTGATTAAAGCTCCTGCCCTCCAAGGACACTCACCGTAGTCCCTGAACCACCTCTCTCGGATCAGGCTCCCGTTACTCACAACGCTGACACTGGGCAGACCGAGCTCCACCTTGCAAAACTTGACCAGCTTGCCCAGGTACTCGCCTCGGTCCTGGAGGAAGGGCTCCCCGCCAGAAAAGTTGATCTTCTCCATACCTGCAAGAGGCAAGACAGTTTCCCCTTCACACATATCCGCTTTGATCATTTTACTTAGCTGTAGAGCATTAGCACTGCCTCATGCGTGCTGGGCAAGCACCCTACCAAGAACCCTCACCCAACAGTATCCCCTTCCTTTTGTTTTTCAGTGACAAAAGTAATATTTTCTCCATAGGAAATTAAAAAAAAAAAGAAATAAAACCTTCTCATCATCCTCCCCTTCCCTCACTCTAGTCCCCAGTGTCAAACACACTTTATGGGAACAGCCGAGCATGCAATTCAGTGTCTAAGTAGGAACAATCGTGTGAAGATTCTGTCTTTGTTCTCCTTTGTCCCAGTTTAAAATAGATGCACTCGGAAGATCAGGAATTCATCACACAGCTCCAGATTTCCTTTCCCGCCAAAGGGAACAGGGCAGCCTGGGGGAGGCTCGGTGAAGGGAGGCAGCCAGTGCTGATCTCAGGGGCAGAGGGCTCCCCCTTGAGAAATCTCAAGCTGGGCCCCAGCTAATCTCAGCAGGAAGTTAGGCAGGGAGGGAAAGATGCCAGCCTCATTGCTACACTGCCAGTGGCAGAGGCATTTGAGGGATGACAGGAAGATGGGACAGAAGGAAGAGCGGACTTCTGGGGTGAAGTATCACATCGTATGGCCCTGCTGACTCCTGAGGTCCTTAGCGTGTCGATGCCTGGTGGAAGGGTTTTAGGAGCAAAGACTCTGATATCTTGTTAATGATCAATTCTAAGGTTTTGCTTTTTGTTTTTTGATAGGATTGCACTAGGTAGTCTGGACTGGTCTCAAACTCACAGCGATCCTCCTGCCTCAGCCTCCTGAGTGCTGGGATTACACGTGTGCGCCACCACACCTGGCTTTTCTCTGCTTTTTTATAAGAGCACACACATCAGCCCACTTAGAAGCCTTTGGTGTTTCTATTCTTCCTCTGAAGATTTTGTTTTCAACTTTCCTCATTAAATGTTCCTGGAGAAGCCAAATTGCCTCCCACTTCACTTCGGATAAACTCTAAAAGCAGACACTGGGTGGCACAACCCCAGGCCGCAGGTGGCTGGGAAGGCTCTGCTAACCAGCGCTGCACTCCAAGGACATGGGGTGCTCGCTCCCGGGCCCACTCCGCCCTCTTTGCCAAGCAGAGCTTCTGCGGCTGAACACCCCGATTTCTTTTGGGGACCAGGACTCACCGGCTTCCTTGAGCAGAAGCAGCCCTCTCCTGGCCTCCTCCAGGGGCAGAACGAAGGATGTCTTGGCCGTGTGAAAACAGAACCCGCACTTGTAGTTGCACTGCCGAGAGAAGTGGTAGTTGACACTGGTAGGAACCATGCGGTCCTCCTCCTCTTCCTCCCCAAGCTGCTGCTGTCCCCTTTCCACAGCTGGCCACCAGAATGCTGCCCGCAGCCAGCAGAGCAGGGCGGCCAGGCTGCCCCACAGAGAGCCCAGCGGCAGCCTGAATGCTCTCAGCATCCTCCCGGCCAGGGCTGTGGCCACCAGCATCCCCATGGCTCCTCAAGGGTACCCTGAAGCCTCCCGCGCCTTATATGACAGTGGAACCTGGCCACACCTCCAGGCAGCCCGGCCTCAGGGAGGAGCACGGAGGAAAACACGCATTACCTTTGACTAATGCTCAGCTAAGTTTCGATTTTCTTCTCTCAGAAAATGAAAGTTGGAACACAGCCAAGACCCACGGCTCTCGTGCGACCGGCTGGGTCCCTGCTTCTGTGCAGCTCAGGGCTGGTCCCTGCCCACCTGATTAAGTGACAGCATTCCTAAGCGAAGGCGTTCCAGCGGGACCAGGTTCCCCACAGTCCGTCTCCACCTGTCTGTCCCAGGGCTAGAGTCTCTGATCTGAAAGGCTTTGGATGAACATGCTTCAGATTGGGGATTTTTTTTTCCGGATTTTGGAATCTTTGCTTCGCCTAATCAGGAAATCTGTTTCTATTCCATATTCATATACACCGTATGCATGTCACTGATGTTATGTTTTACAACATTGTTAATAATTTTGTGTAGGAAACCAAGGCAATGCGTCACATTAGTATTCAAAATGTTTTGGATTTAGCTCAGTGGTTCCGGCACCTGCCTTGCAAGCACAAGACCCGAGTTCGATCCCCAGTGACAAAAAAAAAAAAAAAAA